GGGGGGGAATAAAAAAGCCCTCACATGCCAAAACCACACCCCAAAGGGACTAAGTGACACAGTTTCTCTGTGTAGGAATGATCTGTATTGACAAATAGTCCTCCATGTGCAGAAGCATTATGCTTTCTTCAAGTAGTTGGTCGAAGAAAATAGCAGGCTTCAACTGTGATGCCTAAACATGGGTGATAGCCCTAACTGATATTTTCAAAGCTATTAAAAGGCAATAAATCCATGTTAAACTGTCAGGTATGGGCCAGTCATGGCCCAATAGAATTTCATCTGAAAGCCAGCAGGACATTAGCTAAGAGCTTTCACGATACCCCATGGCATTTAACAGTACCAGTTAACTCTGTTTGGGCACATGAATCAAGTTTTTAGTGCCTGCTATACTAATTAATGCTTTAATTTTATAGACAGAGAAGAAAAAACAAGCTATCATACTTGGTGTTGTACAATAATTCCAGTTCAGAGCTGGTCAGGCAGCAGGAAGCCTTGCCTTGCTAGACAGAAAGCATGAGGGTATAATTGTGAAACATTTAGCATAACTTTAGCAGAGAATGCAGGTAACAACGTAGAGGTTCACCCTACAAAGAGCAGCAGAGACAGAAGGAAGGACGAACAAAGGGAAAGAAAGCAGTAGCACAAGAAGTGCTGATGAAGATGATGGAAGATCATCTTCATCATCATCAAGTAGGGCAGAAGGCAACATTGCAATGAATAGGTCAGGAGCATGTCCAAGAGTCAAGCTAATAGTACTTAAGCACTTAAATCAAAAGGAACAGTTAATCACTAGCGCTCCCAGCAAGTCAGCTGGCTAACATAACAACATCTCAACACATTTTCTCTGGCCTGCAATGACTCACACTGCATGAGGCAGCAGCAGTTCTCTCTCACCAAAATGTTCACTGTCAACCATCAGGGAATGGAACAGAGGTACATGAGTTTCTCTTTAAAATCAGAACGGAAACATTCCCCTGCTGAACTTCTTCATTCTAATGCCTGAGTTATTTTCTATCTCATAAGAAAGAGTTTAAATTCTTCAGTGACATACTTTAAAAACTGAATCCTCCCAAAATACTGCATGAGCAAATGTTAATGGTCAAATCTAGTCTTCCATTGTGCAGCATGTTCACTAAATCCCTTTGAAAATCATCTTCTGAGACCTTGCATTCACAATATCAAAGTGTTTTATGCAGCATAATGAAAAAAACCATAAAATTTTTGTATGAAGTACGTAATTAGTACCTCAACTACAACTCTAAAGGAAAAAAATCCCACTAAACAATAACCACATAAAATATATCAGATGGAACTACCAAGTTTACTATACAGCAAATCTAGAGAAAAATACTTTCAGAAGTCAGAAAATATATTTCACTTAGGGGTGTTGGTGGAGGAGAGGCTGGACAGGAGCCAATCTGGGCTGTATCAAAAGCAGTGTGACCAGTGGGGTGAGGGAGGGGGGGAAGGGGATTCTGTCTCTCTACTCCACGCTCATGTGACCCCTCATGAAGTGGAGTCTCGGTTGGAAAAATCAGTCAGCCCCTCCACCTCAAACCATTTACAACTAAAGAATCACAGCTGTCCACATAGCAAGAGGGCTTGATTATATTTTCATTCCCCATAGTGTGACTCTGACCTTTGAAACCTCTCTTTTAAGGTGGTTTTTCTGTTTGTTTGGGTTTTTTTTTTTTTCTTTTTAAATTTCTAAGCTCTGTGCACTTCAAAACATTAACTGGTCAGGGCTTCAGGGGGAAAAATTCAAGACCTCTCCAGTCTAAAGACCCTCATAAGGAAAAGCTCTATGCATACAAAGCAGTTTTTCGTGCAATGCAAACAGGATTAAAAACAACTATGTCACATAAATACAGAAATATTTTGTATTCACTAGTCATAAGAATATAATTAAAAATCCTTCTGCATATCTTTTTAGATCAAATAAAATTCCATAGTTTAGCCTGCACCACGTTAACCAATGTTTACAATGATAGTATTATAGTCTTGGGAAAATCTAGGTTTTGTTTAAAAGACACGATTTATTTTTCATAAATGAAATTCATATACAAATTATTGGTTTAAAACCTTACACAAGCACCTTCCAGTTCAGAGTATGAACTGGAGAATAGAAAAAAAAGCTACATGCTATGTAGAACTTTTAACTGCGGAAATTGTTAATTCCAGTCAGAGAAATTCCCAATTCATATTCATTACCAGAATTCATATCAATGGGAAAACAAATCTACTTCTCCAGTGCATTCAGAAGGCAGTACAGATCATATAGGATGTAAAAAACCTTAGCCACAGCCATCTGATTGCATGCAAGCACAGGAAAAAACCCTGGTCACCACCAGTGAGGTATTCAAGAGCAACAGGAGGAATTGGTTCCTGTAGAGAACACGGGCTGATGTATTACAAACTCAAGTAAGGAGCACTAGTTTCAAATGCCTTGGAAATGGACCCCAATGACTCAGAAGAGAAAAAATGAAGAGAGACCTTCCTGATACATCTAAAGAGCCTAAATGTCCTCAGATACTCCTACCATATAGAGAGCTCAAATGGATGACCACACAGATGACAAAGTGCTTTGTGGGTGGCAGGTCCCTTGTCCAGGGAGAACCACCTGTAGTTCCAACTCTAAAACACAGACAGCCCCACAGACAGCACCGACACCAAAAATGTATCACCCAATAGCCAGTACAGCACCTCCGTAGTCAACTGGTCAGTATTTCAACAAAATTATTTTGTAAATATAAACTGCACTTTCAACAAAAATAATTACATTTGGTTAAGTTTCTTCTTGTTAGAACTGAAAGTACGTGAAACATTTTTTTTAAATCTGTTTGAAACAGAACATTTTCCATAAAATTGTTGACATTAAAAAGCTTTCCAAAGTACATTCCTCATTTTTCACTCCCACTTTCACATTTAGAAGTGAAATTAAAGACTTCTGAAATGCCCTGCTGAAGAAAACATGCTCATTTTTCTTAAAACCATAATAAAGTACTCAATCCTTTGCAGTGCTGACAGCAGTAAATCAGATGAGTCCTAAGCTTTTGGAGAGCCCAGGCGCATTTTTAGTATCAACACATCTACCTGATGCACATGCTTTTTCCATTGCTGTCATTAATGCTCTTTTGTCTTTTCAGTTGGGAAATTCTTCAATACTACTGCAAAATCCCTATCATAGACAGATGACATTATTATCATTTTTAGTCCTTCTATTCACCCATCAGACTACTGTCCCTAATTTCTAAACTTTGATTTTTTTTTTACAAGTTTAAAGCAAAAATAAAAATTCAGCATTTTTTCAGGTTAAAGACACCAGTGCATTCTTAAACATAGTAATCAGTGTTTGGTTGAACTGGAACAAATATACCTGTATTAATATGCAAATAAAATTCTTAAAAATATTTACATCACTGAGTTAAGAAATTTTTCTTCCTATATTTACATTAAATAAATTCAACCTTACTATATTATAAAAAATTATTCTCTATAGTAATTATTTTCTTGTACCACTACTGAATGGCTAAAGTCTTCGCATAATATTTCCTATTAACAATTTTACTGCAAATATTTGATGAAAAAATACAACTTTACATGTGACTGTTCTTCCTGTTCTGTTCCAAAAAGATCCAAACTGGAATATATTCACTTACAATTAGATATTTTTAAAAGATATGCCACAGCACAATGACAATGGATATAGCATGTTGGTTTTGAAGACCATATGCTACGGTTCCGAAAGATACTCCGAAGCAGATACAGTTACTAGCACTGCTGCCAGCTGGCATTCTCAATAAACTACCTGAAGTAATGATGTTTGGATGTTTAGATGACCTTTAAGATCCCTTCCAACCAAAACCATTCTATGTTCATCTTTTCTATTCAACAAGTTCTTGATTATATTTTCTCCCTCTGAATTTATGCCCCCTGTAAGCCTAGTATATCCTTTACAAAGCTTTGTTAATATGTTTGAAGACATAAATGAAAGTATACACAGAAAATTTGTGTATATCTAAATAGGCCTTATGCCTGTAACCTGTTATTAAAAGACACCAAGAAATAAATGCCACAACATACTTAGAAAAATATTCATCAATACCCTCATCTAGAAACATCAATTACATTATCTATCTCCTACACCATTAGCTGTAAGTCCAATAAACCTACTCAGCAGGTAAGGGATTTAATGAAATAAACCCTGACTTCCTGGGAGGATCACCTGTGGTTCCAGCTCTAATACTTCTGATCAAATACATGCTCTCTTCCTGCTGCTGAGCAACAGGCTCTTCTGAATCTTTATCAAACATGCTCCAAAGGAGGGAGGGTGTAATACTGTGGAAAGTATTTAAACGAGTAGGAGACCAACTGATTGTGGTGAAAGGGAGGATGAGAATAAGCTATATTTTAAAAATAATATAAATTTATGGGGTTTACATTTAAAAGATCACAGTAAAACAAAATCACAGCACTTTTTTCAACAAACAACAAGACAATAAGCTTCTCTACTAATCATTATTAATGAGCCATATAAGCCATAGAATCAAAAAAGAAAAAAAACAGGCCCACAGTCTTGCACTGCTACAGGTTGCCAGTTTCCACAAATATTTTCACTTCTGTTCCCCATTTAAGGCTAAGGCACCAAGGTACAAGTATTACAGAACAAACATCTTCCAGTGGCTATCTCAGAGGAGTAAGGACCAAAACTGACAACATCAAAAAAAACAAAGAAAAACTGAGCCCACTTATCAGTGAAAGGTCTCAGGTTCTCTACCCATTGTCTAACAAATGTAAATACTGACTGCTTCCTGCTCCTTTCATTTCCAGGTTGGAGAAAGCATATTTTGGTTTCCCTTCCTCCGCAAGGAAAAATTTCTTACTTACTGATCCTCCTAAATTAACCCAAACATTTAACTTGAAATCCAATACATTACATTCCTTTAGCTGACTTAATCCCTCATTTCTGGGTTAACTTCACATTCTTTGGGAAATCTTACCCAATTTTGGCAGGGAATAGGGCACTTTAAAATAATCTTCATAAAACTCAATGAGTCTCCTTGTAATATTTAGAGCATAGTCCCCTGATCCTCTTCGGATTGCATCAGGCCTTGCATATAATCGTACCTGTTAAAAAACAAAGCAAAAGTCCAATTTCAGCATCTGCCTTTTACACCTATCCTACCAGAAGAGGTGAATTAATTACTCTATGGTTGCTATAAGGTGGCAGGATTATTCCCTTAAAGCCAAATATGATTGTCATACATTTGTCAAATCATATCATAGTTGAAAACCAGAACTACCACAATTAAAGTTACAAAGTTCAGAAGTCACAATCTCCTACTTATTTGTGTTGCCAAGTAAAAAACTTGCACTCCTTGTATCAAAATAAATATTCGAAGAAAATACATGTGTTTGTTAGAGATATGATGGAAGAGTGGATTAGTATAATGGTTCTCTGCCTACACTGAATGTAGGCAGGATGCAGTGACTCAGTAGGAGAGAAGTTCATGGTTTGTTAAAGGCACATTATATCAAGCCCTGGAAATATTAGTAGACTGTGAAGAAAAAAAATAATCGTTCTCTTTTCTCCTCTCCAGCAGTGACACTGTTACCCTCGATGAGCTATGGGAAGACTGCAAAAACGACCATTTCTAAGCTCATTCATGTACACAAACAATTAACATTCCTGAAACCTCCATGACTGCTTCAGGCTTCTGTTTCCAGAAAGCAGTAAATTAAAGCTGTTTGTATAAGCCACAGACTGCTCTGTTCAGTACAACACAGCTCACACATTTTAATACCTGGAGTGAACCAAGTGAACAGAACTCACCTTCATAATTCAGCATTCAAGTGTGACCCTGATTAGGGACATAGCAGAAATTACTGCCAGGTTATTACTTCTTCCTTGTCCTTACAGTCTGTAGCAATTCCTTCATGCAAAGATGACACAGAGCCTACAACTGCTAATCGAGATGGGGACAGAAAGGAGAACCACTTTTTCTTCTCTCTCCTCATACCCTGCCTGATGGAAGCAGCATGTCCTTTGTCTCTAGTGACTGTGACAGAAGGTCTCTCCCCGCAGCTCATAATGACCTGATGTAAATGAGACTGTCCCAAAGGTCAATCCTAATAATAATATCTGACTCGCCAGTACTTTCTGTGGTAGGATTAAATCCCAGCCAGGGCTCCCAAGGAAAGCAGTAGTGCAGAAATCAGAAAGTATCAATGCAAACATGAAGGAGAAATACCAGCTTTGGAATGTTTCTAAATGCTCTACTCTGGATTAAGAAAAGCCAATGGGATTTTTGGCTTCAGTGAAAGTATTACCAAGTATTGCTTTACTGCTCTTTTTCTGAAGCTATCCTGAACTAGCCTGGATAGCTAGTTCAGCTATCCAAGTGGAAACCAGATATCAAGCCTAAGTACAGTGTACCTGCAATTCTCTTTAAACCCACTGCCTCTTGAGTTTCAGTATGGAGACACATTATTTGCTTCATTACAATGTCCATCTTCATATTTAATCTTTGTGTTGTATTAGACTCAATGTACAATCAACCATATAGTTATCATTCATAACATAAAATAGGTAATGGTGTAACCTGATGAGATATGTAATAAAGCAGACTCCTTATAATCACTACCTGAAAGCACATAGATCATCATCTGCACTCCTCCAAATACTATTTTTATTTATTACTTCCTTTCAAAGTTAACAGTAACGTGTACATTGAAATGTTCCCTTATCTACTAAACTAAATACAGGTTTTAAAACAAAACACGTATTAACCACAGAGTTTATGGAAGGATGTTAAGAATCACAATTAGATTTGTGATGAACACTGTTTTGTATCATTAAACCTTTATACACAATTTTGCATAATTGCTTTACTGGCACAGTTGACTGTATCAGCAAATTAGGGAAAAGAAGAGTCAACCAAGTATGCAAAAAATCATTCAATTTGACAGTGGCCAAATCTGTCCATAATAAGAAAGAAGACAACAGAAGGGAAGAAAATAATAAGGAAACAGAAGAAAAATCAAGGTTCAACTTACTGCATTACAATGAATGTCTCCTGGCAAATATAGAAAAGGCATTTAATGGTGTCTGAGATGGAGCCAAGGTACAAAAGCTGCAATGCTGCAAACTCTCATTTGTCTCCTGCCTAATGCTGAATGTAGTTTTATTTTGCCCATAAAGTTTCGCTATGTGCCCCTCTGCCTGCCCAGAATAGCTCTGGACTGCCAGGCCTCCATGGCTCACACCAAGGTCACCTGTAAGCTGGAACACAGTTCAGAAACTACCCACACCTTTGTCCAGGTCTCTCAGGGGCTTTGAGGCAATAGATATTGTCAAAGCAGTCAACCATCTTCAAACACTGGGTCTTGCTTCTGCCTTTCACCCAGCAACCACCAAGCATGAAATGTATGGAGAACCTTGGACACACCACTACAGACCTACCCCGGCCTCAGAAATTCCCTCTTGGTCAGCAGAGGGCTACCACAGGGAACAGTCTGTGACACTCTGCCTACCTGGCACATTCTGGTCACATTAGGCGCCATCACAAAGTGAGGAGCTTGGTCCAGAATTCAGTCTAAAGGTTGGCACCTATAAGTTTGAAACTGAAGCCCCTAACTTTCACACACTGATGTTTCTTTAATGTGTTTGGGCTTATTTTGACCATATCTCACTTCCAAAGCCATCAAATAGGGACTATATTATTTCCTTAGTTAATAAGAAGATTTTGAGTCAAAAGTAATAAAGTTTTTTGTATTCTGCTCCAAAGAGGAACTTAAGTAAAACAGAATGACAATTAAGTAAAACAGAATGACAATTAAGACATGAGATTTGTTTACAATAATTTGTTTGCTTCCTACTTGCATTTCAAAAGACAAGTGGGTAGTGTTACTTTAAAACTGCATTGGACAGAACAACAATGCCGAATTTTTATTTATTTTCCCACAGGCTGTTTGGCCACTGTCCTAAGATCTTGATTTTACAGTAATTTACATAAGAGAAAAAACAAAGTTTTCCGCAGAGTCGGCCTAAATATATAACTACAAAAGGCAAACAGGTTTCCAGTATAAGTGCATCATTCATCACTCACCACAATGGCACCTACTGCCCTGCAAATATTATTAATGCTCTCTTCATAATCTTTGCAAGATTAGGTTAGACTATTATTTTCATGTGAGAAAGTGGAGACCAAAGAGAGACTAAGAGTAATTCTGGGTGCCTATCTTGACACCTCTCAATGTCAAGTCTATTTAACAGTTTTATTGCACTTAAAGCACTGTTCCCATTATATCTTACTGCAGTGGTGAACACTTTATCAAAGTTTTGGCCACAGGTGCTTTAGTTTGGGCATTCATGAAATCAGCAATACATGATTAATGACTAAATGAGACTCTGTCAGTTTATGTGATTTACTTGGCATCCCACAGCAACTCTGGTGGCAGAGGCAGGGAGGGAATTCAAAGCAGGCATTCATCCTTGTGACCACTTAACAACCTGCACCAAGTACCTTCCACATCTGGGAATTAATAAGGTAGGTTCTGTTTGGACAACAGGTATATGAACAGAACACTGCTGGTCTTCTGATGCAGTCATAAGCATCCATTGAAAAATATCAGAAAAATGTTATGAAGGATCATATTTGTAATGACACTGCAATAATACCTAAAAATATAACAAAGTTTACACAGTTAACTCAAATTCTGAGGGTTTTTCTTAGCTCTCTCACATCTATATTTGCAACCACTACCAATTTTTCAACAGGAGTTTTGACTACAAAGAAAAAAACCCCAGCCCTCTCATTTCTCCCTCAAATGGAACCAAACTGACTGTCTCCTTCCTATCACAAGTTTGAGCAACTAGGTTTGTGCCTGCAGCCCTGCAAACCAGATCTCCTCTTTATAAGATACTTGTAAATAACTGAAAGTTATTAGACATTCTAAATGAAATCTCGGCAACATAAATTTCCTCATTCTTTTCTAAAGTGGGCAAAAATGCGAGTTGTTTCCCCTTGTTTGCCTTCCAGAGGCCTGGAGTGGTTTCATAATAACTTTAAATAAACTCAATATCAGCCACACTCAGACAATATCTAAAAAAAAATTCATTGTGAAGTATTACTTTAAAAACATTAGTAACCTTACTCAGGTTCTTAGAATTATTTTGGCAGCATTAGCAGAAAAAGTACTAAAATATTCCTGAAACTTGTATGATAAATTCCTTGTATTTCTTATAAGTGATCAACAGCCTACTCCTCTATAGTTAGTCAAAATTATTTGCTATAAAACAGCATACTTTTACAAACAATTTGTAAATATTGCAACATTTTCTCTAGTCTGTCTCAGTATTTCAGCATCTGCTACATAAAATAAGTCGAAGAAATTTTAAAATATTGGTAATACCAGGTTGCCAGAACAGATAAATGTGGTTGTAAAATAAAAACTGTTTCCCACAGAGAGTCATGATATATGCTAAGAAATGTGCAACATACTTAAAACAAATCTCATCTAACTGAAGTCAGGTTATTACAGAGCATGAGAAAAATCTTCCTATCTACAACAGGTAAAAATTATCCATCAAAAAGAAAGCTAGCACTTGAAAAGAAAAGAGAGATTTTCTTGTCTTATTACCTCAGAGCACTTCCAAAAAATGTGAACTAGTAACTATCTACACTGGGTAAAATTCTGAGAAGTACAACTCTAGACAGCAACACACACCTTAATTTCTAGAGAATAGCAGGCTCACCAAAATTGTTTCTGGTGTACCAAAGACTAGTGATAATTTTACCATGTAAAAAAACAGAGGAACAGAATAAAAAGAAATAGAATTGTTCTATTTTGAAATTTTAAAATCACTACTTTTCTCTTGCTCTTTTTTTTTTTTTTTTGCATTAAAAGTTAAGTGAAAAGGAGCAGAGGATTAAACAGATGACAAATGGTAAGGAAAAACCTGCAGTAATTTTTTCACACTATGTGAAATACTTTGGATCAAACCAAAGGGTTTGTACAGTTCTGTAGGTAGAAAGAATATGGAATACGTTCAGCATTTTGATCACAGCAACAAAAAGGGAAAATCCATTATTTACATGTGTCTAATTGCAGAAAGACTGTGTTCC